TTTTTTTTTTTTTTTTGTAGATCTTTTCTTCACCTCAGTTTCATCTGAAAAAGAGGGAATAAAAAAATCCAGTCTGTATCACAAGGCAGTGGTAAGCTCAGAGAGGAGCAGTTGACCTTCAGATGTCTTTAAGCGCAAGATGGAACTAGTATATAAAAAATAGTACGAGCTACTTCTTCTTATGAAAAAATAGAGAGCAATAGGGGTACCTCCTGGGTGCCCCAGGACTCTCTGTGCCTATGCATTCACTGATTAATTCAGCACAAAGTACGAAGATGATTAAGACATGTGGCCAGTGCTGAATGAGATGCAAAGGTGTCTAAGATGTGTACTTTGGCCTCAGAGAATGGAAAATCTTTGAAAAATGAAAAATCTAAAACACACCAAAAGATGACCAGAGATTTCAGGGAAGTCTAAAGACAGCAGGTTGGAAAGGGCAGTTCTGTGAAGTCAGCATTCGGGGTACTAGAAGAGTCCACCCAGGCGAAGAGGCAGAAAGGCATAGCAGAGGACAGAAGGGTGTCACAGTGCGTAGTGGTCTCTGTCCAGGAGGAAATGAGGTCATCCTACTCTCAAAAAATCAGCATGAAAGCCTCCAGCCAAGTAATTCGGAGTCATGAGAGCTGCTAGAGCAGCAACGTGAATCATGACAGACTGCTGGGAATTTCCTAAGAGCTAACCTAGGAGTTTTGGGGTAAGTCCTCAGGCTGTAACATTTCTGTTTACATTTTGATCACATTTATTTACAATTAATGGGTTCGAAGATCTAAACAAAACTGGCCACAGTCTTCTGGAGGATGTAGGAAGACGCGCTTTGAGACCCATGCAACTGTGACTCAGTGGACCCTGAAGGCTGGCAAATGAGCAGGCACAGCACCAACCCTGGAGGATGTGGGGTTGGTCACCTGCCTCCAGGAAGCTGGAGAGCTAATTTGTACTTTCCCCATTCTGAGAGCTCTTGCTGGGGCACAGAAAAGGAGCCTTCCCACCTCCTGGCACTGTCTCCCCTTGCTTTCTGACTCTCTCAAGTGTGGACCCAGGCCCAAGGTCTAGGTTTGCAAGGCAGCAAAATGCTATAGGTGTCAGCAAGGCTTGGCTTGGATGTGTAAGGAATTGCAGGGTCTTTCCCCATAAAAGGATCCTATCTGCTGGGTGGCACAAAAATGTCCCCAAACCTTAGTGCCCCACTAGGGAAGAGGGATGGAAGTGACTGAACCACAGGGTCCTTGCTCTGCTCCTCCAACAGTGCCTGCATTATGTGTGTATGGACAGGTAGATGTGTATGCTTGTTGTTAGGCAGGTGGGGCAAGAGGAGTTATTTACACATGATCTTTCTAGAGGCTAATTTTACTTCATAAATAATCTCCCTTCCTTGCTTTCTTCTTTCTTTCCATCCTTCCTTTTTTCTATTCTTTTCCTTTCCCTTCTGAGGTACTGGGGTTTGAATCCAAGGCTGTCACCCTGAGCCACACACTCAGCCCCTTTCAACTTTTTAATTTTTTTTTGGCAGATGGGGATTGAACTTTTTTATTTTGAGGCAGGATCTTCTTTTCTTTTTTTCTTTCTTTCTTTCCTTTTTTTTTTGGAACCGGGGATTGAACTCAGGCCCTTGTGCTTGCCCGGGAAGCGCATAGTCCACTGAGCCATCTCCCCGGCAAGGCGGGATCTTCTTAAGTCACTGAGTTGCCCAGGGTGAGCTCAAACTTGGGATCTGCCTCAGTCTCTCAGGTTGCTGGGGTTACAGGTGTGTGCTCCCACACCATGTGTAAATGATTATTTTTTATCTTAATATAAACAATGCCATCTGATGAAGTAGAATGCTAAGAATACATATATTCACTTATTTAATTATTTTGTAGGACAGAAGGGTTGAAAGGAGGGTAGGGAGTAGGGAAAAAAGAAACAAGTTCAAATATGTCATATACAGGTACAAATACAGTTCATATGTACATATACAGGTACAAATTCTCTATGGTGAATCTGATTATTATGTATATTTAAAATGCACAAATTAAAATCTGATTGGAGGGGCTGAGGAGATAGCTCAGTGGTCTAAGTGCCTGCTTGGCAGGCTCAAGGACCAGGGTTCAATCCTCAGTAACCACATGCTGTGCTGGCCCTGAAACCAGGCATCTGAGACAGAAGGATCACTACGAGTCCAAGCTGCATAGGGAGACCCTGTACTACATAAATAAATAAATAGTTTTTAAAAATCTGATTGGAAAAAAAAAATCCAGGCAGAAATCTCTGCCTGTCCATCTAAAAAAAAATTATTCAGTTACTTTCCTGGACATCAAGCCCAGGGCATGGTACACACTAGCAGGCACTCTACCAGTGTTGCACCTCAGGCCTAAATGCTTTTAAAAATGAGCAATTATCTTATCAGAATAAATGAAGCAGGGATATGTTTTCCCAAAAAATGAAACAAGTTTAAAATGAAATGTAAGTCCGACTCTTGCCTTGTCCTCCAGACTCCTTCCTTCTCTACTCTGAGATGAGAGTAGAACTCCCTGCCCCTCCACAGTTCAGTGTCCATTTACAAGGTTTTACTATTCCACTCTTTAGTAACTATCATTTCCCAGGCAAGTAAGAGGACTGCTCATTATAGGAACTTCACAAATGACCCACTGACACTTCAGTAGGAACCATCAACAATGCACCCCTAAGTCTGTTTGCACAAACCTACAAGAAGTTTCTGATCCTTACCAGGCTTTCCACAGCCCCCTCCTTCAAAGGCCCACCTTACCCCCAAACTGAATTCAGAAGATATGGTCTGGGACAACTACTAAACGCTCTTCCTACTGAGCAATAAACCCATTTCCTCATCCACCACCACCCATTGTGTGGTGATATCTGGGAACACTAGGTGGCCCCTGTTAGGAGGTGTTTTTGTGCCCGTGTCTCAGGGAGTTTGCCCCATCCAGCTCTCACGTTGACACAGATATTGCACGGGCTGTGGATGCACCCCTGTATGCATGGGTTAGAATCACTCCCCTGGGTCGGTGGCAGCAAAGGATGAACTGATGACGGGGTGGAGGGGGCTGGGGCGGGAGAGGAGGCCTCAGAGCTAGGAAGAAATGCCCAGCGATAAGCCTGAGATTCCGGGGACACTGCAGGGGGCGGGGAGGGCCCGGGGTCAGGTGAATGGGAGGAAAGGCGAAGAATGGACCACAGGTCTCTGAACACCCCACCCCACCCCCGTCCGCGATCACACACACACACACACACACACACACACACACATCTCGGCTCTGTGTCAAAGTGGCGGAAGCGCGGGGTACAGATCCCGGCCAGCGCAGGGGTGGGGACCAAGACGTAGCGGGGCGGGGCGGGGCCGGCGGGGCCCTGATATACAGCGGCGCCGCGGGCTCTACTCAGTGCGAGAAGCTCTCCGAGCCTCCGCTGAGTCCACATTCCCGCAGAGCCCAGTGCCCCAGGCTGCAGCCGTGGTGAGTGCGGCTCCCTTCGCCTCCTGGGCTCCGGGGCTGGGCGTCCCCAGAGGGTGCCCGGCGGAACAGCGCCGGAGCTCCTCACCCCCACAGGGCTGTGCGGCGGGGCCCGAGCCCCGCGGGGGATGTGGGCTTCTCCCCGAGCCGCAGACCACCACCCGTTCCTTCTCGCTCCCCCGAGGCTGGCCTGACTTCTCCTCGCCTTTCAGAGCTGCTGTCTGAACCCGAGTTTCTCCACCATGCGCGTCCTGCTGACGTCCCTGCTCCTCTACGCCCTGGTCGTGAGCGACTCCGAAGTGAGTGGTCATTCTGCTTTGCCTGTCGCAGGCCGGAGCTTGCGGGGCCCCGGGCAACCCACTGGGAAGGGAGACAAGCGTGGGGAGCCGGAGTCCTCCTACTCTCACAGCAGCTTCGCAGCTCCAGACTCCCGGAGAGCAGAGCAAGGGTGGGTTGGAAGCCTCAGGGACATCCTTGGCTAGAGGGCCACACCTGATTCAATGGTCTCCCTGCCAAAAACCTCTTTTTCCATTAAGTGAGTGGTTAGACAGGAACTGGGGGAAGACAGAAAGAGTAGGGGTAGGGGAACTGAGACTGATTAATGCCCACGGAGGGGCACCAGAAGCACGGGAAATCTGATGACACCTGGTTCCCCGTCTCTTGCAGGGCAGCCATGAATTTGGAGCGTCAGATGCAGGTAAATATCGTCCCCTGCACCCTAGCTAGCCGCCTGTTGGAAAACCTTAGGGGCAGCTCCTCCCTGCACCTCCCGGCAGGGGTGGCTGGCATCCTTGCCTCCTGCAGTCTAGTTTACTCCGCCTTTGTCCTCCCCAGAAAACTGTGGCTGTCTGAACGGAGGTACATGTGTATCCTACAAGTACTTCTCCAACATGCAGAGGTGCAACTGCCCAAAGAAATTCCAAGGGGAGCACTGTGAGATAGGTATGAGGGTGGGGATTCTAGCCTGGAAGGAGCAGTACCAGAGATTTTAGGACTGGGAGGAGAGGGTGGGATGAAACAATAGGCAGGAATTATGGTGCATTCCTGCCATCCTAGCACTCAGGAAGCTGAGGCAGGAGGATCACTACAAGGGCAAGCCCAGCCTGTCTAAAGCCCATAGTGAGTGCTATCTAAAAAAAAAAAAAAAAAAAAAAAAAAAAGAGTTAGAAGACTCTTCCAGAGTCGTCTGCTAGGTTGGAAACCATGTAATCTCTTCTTTGTAATACCCTCTGCCATCCTTCACAGACACATCGAAAACCTGCTATGAGGGAAACGGTCACTCTTACCGAGGAAAGGCCAACACCGACACCAGAGGACGGCCCTGCCTGGCATGGCACTCTAGCAATGTCCTTCTGCAGAAGTTCCACGCCCACAGATCTGATGCTGTCCAGCTGGGCCTGGGGAAACACAATTACTGCAGGTGAGGCAGGGAAGCAGGATCAGAGGACTTTGGTCCTCCCATGACCTCTTCAGAAGTTTGGCTGCCATCCACTTCTACTCCTGAGTGCTGGCCAGGCCCCTGCTTGAGCTTTCCTGCAGTGGGAGAAGGCAGGGGAGGTATTCTGGGTCAGAAGGACATTCTTGATCTTCCTAATGCAGGAACCCAGACAACCGGAGATGGCCCTGGTGCTACGTGCAGATTGGTCTAAGGCAGTTCGTGCAAGAGTGCATGGTGCCCGACTGCTCTCTTGGTAAGTGCCGCTGGTTGCTTAGGACAGTGGGGTGGAAGGGGACATGCTCATAATGCTGCAGTCTCCTATCACAGGAGGGATGAGAAGGGAGGCCTGCTCAAGCAGGATACTGTGTCTTCATCACCCAAACATGCCTCTCTTTCTCCTCTAGGAGGAAGGCCCTCTACTCCCCCAGCACAGCAAGAGTTCCAATGTGGCCAGAAGGCTGTGAAGCCTCGATTTAAGATCGTTGGTGGGGAGTTCACCACTATTGAGAACCAGCCCTGGTTTGCAGCCATTTACAAGAAGCACCGGGGAGGCTTAGTCTCCTATATATGTGGGGGCAGCCTCATCGCCCCCTGCTGGGTTGTCAGTGCTACCCACTGCTTCATGTAAGTCCCTCCCCTTCTCTGTGCTGTTCCTACCCCACCCAAGCGCATGCCCTCTCCATGCCTGCAGAGGCTTCCCCCCTTGATTCTCCCTTGCAGCTTCTTGCCCTGTGGCCTCAGCCTTGGGGACAAAGGGTCAAGTCCTGCTTTGAGGTTGTGTGGAGGGAGGAGGGAGTGGCAGGCTGTCTGACAGGTCTCTTGTGCCACAGCAACCACCCAGCGAAGGAGGACTACATTGTCTACCTAGGCCGGTCCAAGCTCAGCCTCACTACCACTACTCCTGGGGAGGTGAAGTTTGATGTGGAGCAGCTGATCCTACATGAGGACTACAGTGCTGAGAGCCTGGCGCACCACAATGACATTGGTGAGTGAGGCTGATGGTGGCTGGGCCTAGAGGGGTGAGGACCAGGCCCAGCGGAGTTGAGCCGGTGGAGGACTTGAAGCCCCTTCCTTACCCAACAAAGGGACCAGGGAGGCTGAGTGGAGAGTGAAATATATGCAAGATCGATGTTCCTCTGCAGAAACATCCACGTTCCTAAACTGGCAGCTGCTTCTGAGAGGAATTAGCCCCGTGGGCTGGATTTCACTTCTCGTTTTACTTTGGCCTTAAATTCACTCTATAGCCCAGGCTGGCATGAACTCATAGTGATCCTCCTGGTGGTGCATGCCTCAATTAGGCTGGATTTTGGCTCAGCTTCTTTGGCAAGAAATACTATTTGCCATTGTATGGCAGCCCTAGCTGCCTAACTCTTTGTCAGTAGCTGGAACAAAGCCTTTGGAGCATGGGGCAGGGGGCTTCCAGTTAGCAAGTTCCCACCAGACCAGCTTAGATGACCTAGGAGCCACTCCCTCAGCAGCTAGAGGCCAAGAAGGTGGCCATCTGGCCCGGCGGTGGTCCCACTCCACTGACCCCCTCTTTACCCCCAGCCCTGCTGAAGATCCGCTCCAGTGAAGGTGGGTGTGCGCAGCCGTCCCGGTCCATCCAGACCATCTGCTTGCCCTCCCTGCTCAATGAGCCCCATTTCGGCACAAGCTGCGAGATCACAGGCTTTGGACAAGAGAGTTCTAGTAAGTGACCTGTGGGGCTGACTGAGGGGTCCTAGGGGAGGGTGGTGACCTGGAAGTGTGTGCAGCATGATCCACCATGGGGACCGAGATGAGAGCACTATGGGGGGGAGTCGCAGAAGGGCCTGGAGATGAGGGGCAAGCACTGCTTAGGGCACAATGAGCCACAGAGGTGAATCATAGAGGGGAGAGTGTGGGTGGGGTATGTGTCGAGCCTCAGGTGGAAAGTCAGTAAGTTCCTCTCCCTGGCAAAGTCCCACAGACAGACAACTGTTAATGCAAATGCCTGGCTTTTTCTTCCATCTAGATGACTATCTCTATTCAGAACACCTGAAAATGACTACTGTGAGGTTAATTTCCCACCGGGAGTGTCAGCAGCCCCAGTACTATGGCTTAGAAATCACCACCAAAATGCTGTGTGCTGCTGACCCGCAGTGGGAGACAGATTCCTGCCAGGTGAGAATCCCAAACAACTTTGTCACCCACACCTCCCTGGAGCTCCTGGATCTGACCCTGCCAGCCTGTAGGAATCTCTGTCCAGCCAAAGCTTCAAGAAGTTAGGTCTTTTGGGGGCCTTTAAGCTACCCTTATGTGTTTCCTCAAACATTCGACACATCTTAGTCTGTGTTAGACACTTCAGACTTGAGGGGGTGATTTATGAAGACCAGGAGAAGCTAGTGTGGTCCCACAGGCCTGTGATCCCAGCACTCAGGAGGCTGAGGCAGGAGGATCACTGTGAGCACAAGGCTAGCCTGGGCTACATGGTGAGTTTAAGGCCAGCCTAAACTACATAGCAAGACCCTGTCTAAAAAACAAAAACAAAAACCAGCAACACCCCTCAAAAAAAAAAAAAAAAAAAGAAAAGAAAGGAAAGAACATAGCTATAAGAAAAAGGGACCCCTAGGCGTATCTCAGTGCTCAGGATGCAGGGTGAATTGTAAAAGAGCATGGAGGGGTGGCTTTGAAGAGAGTGTGAATTGAGAGTGGAGGGCAAACCAGAGCATGTCTTGGGTGAAATGGAGATGAGGGTAGCACATTCAAGGGCAGGAGAAGTAGGGTCTGGCAGTGGCGCGGGTGTTGTGGTGGCAGGGGACAGGCCTTTGCAAGCCCTGCAGAGGAATTTAAGCTGGGTGTGCTAGGGAAAGGAGAGTCACGAAGGCTCTGAGAGCTCCCCACTCTCGGGCTGGCTGGAGGTGGGATCTGAAGGGTGGCTGGGTTCCTTCTCTCGGGCTCACATCCTGTGTCTCTGACTCTCCAGGGAGACTCTGGAGGGCCCCTGGTCTGCTTAATCGATGGCCACCAGACTCTGACTGGGATTGTGAGCTGGGGCCGTGGATGTGCCTTGAAGAACAAGCCGGGTGTGTACACCAGGGTCTCCCGCTTCCTGCCCTGGATCCACACCCACACTGGGGAGGACAATGGCCTCGGCCTCTAGGACCCCTACGGAGCCAAGGGAGGAAAGCAACAGCCGTCCATTCCCATCTGACCATTTCTGCCAGTGAGCTGTCTCCCTCCGCTGAAGGAAGAGACAGGAAGATGGGCTCTGCAGAGGTGGCCATCTGCAGAGCCCATCTGCTTGCGCCACCCACCAGGATGAAGATAGGAGCTCTACCCTCAGACATGAACTGGGTGCTGGCCACCCAGAAGCCCCTGGCCAGGACAGAGAGGTGGTCCTGGCTCAGCATAACACGAACCATAACTGGCTTTTTATGGACGCTGGTGCCAGCTGTGCATGCTGGGAGGAGAGCTGGTCCCCAGTGGGGGTGACCCTGGAGGCCCACAGGTGGGAGATGATGAGTCACTTTCCACCTGGAAGTGGGACAGCTGAGGTTTATGGAGGAGTCTGGCCTATGGGGAAACAGCAGTTTGAGGAACAGAGACAATGCTGGGCTGAAGGAAGAGCTCTGGCATCCCAAGAATGGAGCTGGAAATCTTCCATGCACGGGGGTGTGGGTGCACTCACACTCCAGCCACGGAGGGCAGGTGTCAGGGCTGCTGTGCTCTTGGTCTAATCTAGGTCTGGGCATTTCCCTCCACTGGTTTGTGACGCCTCCCAGAGTGGTCTGCCTGGAGTGCTTGTGGGTCAGCTGGGGGCTCCATGGGTCCCCCATGTGCTGGAGCCTGTGAATGTATCACTCTGGGCACCACTCGTGACCACATGAAGTATTTGTTTCACTTTCACACAGATGTCCCTTTCTGGGTCAGTTATGCTTCTGACCTTTCTGTCTAATTATCCAATCCTCACTGGGTGAGGTGAGGGCTACTTCTGTATCCTATTTAATAATTATATTCTGCGATTTTTATTTAAATCTATTTTTATAATTCTGGATAAAGGTGATCAATAAAATATGATTTTTTTTCTGAAGATTTTGGTCTCTCTCTGGTGTTTGTAGGAAAGGGAGGGGGGAGAATAAAAAGAAGTAAATGGACGAGGTGTGGTGATGTATGCCTATAATCCCAGCACTGAGGAGGCTGAGGCAGGAGGGTCACTGTGATTAAGGCCAGCCTGGCCAGCTGAGGCAGGAGGATCACTGCAACCTGGGCTACACAGTGAGTTCAAGACCAGCCTGAAACATAGCAAGTCCCTGTCTCCCAAAACAAAAGGAAAAAAATCAAAGAAAGAAGAAAGCAACATGAATGCTGAAATTTCTTGCAGGATTTCCAATAGACAATCCTTGGGCTGAGCTCAAGCAAAAAGAACCTTTGCATAGGTGCAGATTGCTGATGCATAACACCAGTGTGAGGGCTGGCCAAATAGCTCAGCAGACTAAAGTGTCTGCGTAGGCAGAGCGCAGTGGCTGAGGTTTGATTCAAGCCCAGGCACAGGCTCACATGGACACGGTCAGTGCTGTGATAGATCAGCTAGTGGAATGGGTGTGGAGAGCCCCTTCCTTCCCAGGTTGTACTTCAAGGATGCTGGGTTTCCAGGACCAGTGGGTGGGAAACCCAACTTTCTCCAGGATAGTAATTCTCTTTTCCTAAAACATGCCTGGGCCACAGGAGGAAACAAAACCCAAAAACCCACCAATGTGAATCCATGGCACAGGTCCCTTAGAAAATAGTAAACTGGGGGCTGGTGAGATGGCTCAGTGGTCTAAAGCACCTACTTAGAACAAGGTTGGCAAAGCACAGGGACCTCGGTTCGATCCTCCAGCACCACATGCCAGCCAGCACCGCCCCCTGGTGGGCTGAGCTGGCCACACACACACACACACACACACACACACACACACACATAAATAAATAAATAAATAGATAAAATAAAATTAAAAAAAAGAAAATAGTAAACTGTTCACTTCCTTTGCCTATGGGGCTGTGTTGAGTCTTCTCACTGTGCTAATACAGCATCCCTAGCTTACCATGGCTTTGGAAGGTGAGGTTAGGAGAGCTGTAGAGCAGGGCTTTCACAGCATCTAAGGCACAAAAAGTGCCCTCAGTCAAGGATGGTTGCTTGGAGTGCAGGAAGTTTTACCTCCCAATTTCTTCCTAAGCCTGATGACTTTGTGCAGTCCACATCTTATAAAACTGTACACAGAGGTCCTCTTTTTGAGACCACACTCCATACCCAACAACCCCTGGGCTGAACTCAACCAAGAAGAATGTTTCTGTAAGAGAAATGTGCTGATCTAAACCCTAGCGTGAGGGCTGGGGAGATAGCTCAGTAGAATAAGCGCTTGCCTGATAAGCACAAGGGTCTGAGTTCAATCCCTGATTCTGCAAATAAATAAATAAATAAAAATAAATGAATGCTAGTGTGAATCTGTGGCATTCAGGGAGCAGAAAACAACTTCCCATTGCATGTGGGGCTGGCACTGAGCTTTCTTATATTAATCTACCAGCCACTGCTATCCCCCCTTTAGGACAGGCTGAAGTCCTAAAGGGGGTGTCCACATACTTTGAAGCAAATATCAAGTTCTGAAGAAGTGGGATGCAGAAAGCAGGCTGGTAGGTAGAACTGGATGCCAAATTACTGGAATTCCCCAGTCGTGTTCATGGCTTTGGCAGTGCTTCTTGGCCGAGTCACCTGAGAACTTTAAAAATATACATGAACCTGTGCCCCACCTTTTGATATTGTGAGTCAGGTCAGAGTTGGTGCTGGGCTCGTGATGCTAGGAAAGCTCCCTAGGGGTTTCTGACATGCACCACTGACTGGGAGTCTTTGGGGTCAATGATTTGGAATAGAGGGAGGTCCTGAGAAGTTCAGGACATGGCCAGCATGAGTTCTCAGCATGAATAGTCAGTTTTAAGTGAAGTTTTAGGGTGCAACCTCTGAGTATTCTGAGGTTCTCTGAAGATAAAGAATCTAGAATATTGTATTTTCTGTGTTTTGGTTTTGATTCTTTGAGATAGGGCCTGGCTACATAGCTCATGACCCTCTTGCCTCAGGCTCTGGAGTGCTAGGATTACAGGCATGTGCAGTCATTCCTTGGCAAATACAGGACCTTTAATCCTCACAATACCATAGGCCGTTTTGTACTGCATGCCAAAGCAGCCTGGATTTGGGAGTCAGGGGACCTAATGAGTCCTAAATTGGCTAAAAAGCACCAACCTGGCACCTAACCAAAGCACCCAAATGGTGGTGTGGCAAAACCGAGTAAATTTGCCTAGAATTGAATGGGAACCACCTTCTCTTTCCCATTCTAGGATTGCACTACTTGGAATCAGAAACTTTATAGGAAAGAAAACTGCATGGTTTGAAGCTCAGGGGCCCAGCCCAGGCTGAGTTGCTGCTCAGCTTCTGCATTTACCCTCAGGGGCCAAGAAAGATCCTGTTCAGACTCGAGCAGTTTTAGCAGCAGAGATCTGAGACACTGAAAACAGGAAGTCTGCGCCCAACCGGCAGGTTGAGCAATGAGGCCGTTTCCCAGCCAGCTCTTGTCTCTCCCTGAATCTCCCAAAACTCACTCGGGTTTGTAGATCAGTCTGCCCTTGAGCTCACTATGTAGTCCAGGCTGGCCTCAACTTGTGATGATCATCCTGCCTCAGCCTCCTGAATGCTGGGATTATAGGCATGTTCCGCCATGCCCAGCCTTGGGACCATTTTATGGTAAGAAAGTGAAAGCATGCGGGAATTGAGGGACTCACACAAGGAAGGCAGCCACAAGTGCTAAGAGCCACAGTGTGCACCTAATTCTGAATAAAGGTGATCAATAAAATACGATTTTTTTTTCCTGAAGATTTTGGTCTCTTTCTTTCTGGTGTTTGTGGGGAAGGGGACGGGGGAAGAATAAAAAGAAGTAAATGGGCCAGGTATGGTGGTGTGTGCCTGTAATCCCAGCACTGAGGAGGCTGAGGCAGGAGGGTCACTGTGATTAAGGCCAGCCTGGCCAGCTGAGGCAGGAGGATCACTGCAGCCTGGGCTACACACTGAGTTCAAGACCAGCCTGAAACATAGCAAGTCCCTGTCTCCCAAAACAAAAGGAAAAAAATCAAAGAAAGAAAACATAGAAATAAATGATGAAAGCACACGAATGCTTAAATTTCTTGTGGGGTTTCAGGCAGATAATCCTTGGGCTGAGCTCAAGCAAAAAGAACCTTTGCATGGGTGCAAATTGCTGACACAAAATACCAGTGTGAGGGCTGGCCAAATAGCTGAGCAGACTAAAGTGTCTGCGTAGGCAGAGCGCAGTGGCTGAGGTTTGATTCAAGCCCAGGCACAGGCTCACATGGACACGGTCAGTGCTGTGATAGATCAGCTAGTGGAATGGGTGTGGAGAGCCCCTTCCTTCCCAGGTTGTACTTCAAGGATGCTGGGTTTCCAGGACCAGTGGGTGGGAAACCCAACTTTCTCCAGGATAGTAATTCTCTTTTCCTAAAACATGCCTGGGCCACAGGAGGAGATCATACATGCCTTCCCCAGCTCTCCTCAACCTCTGCTGATGCTCAAATGTGATTTCATTGATGTGGTTTCCATTTTCACAGAGCCTGTCCTGAAATATCTAGTGGCTCATTCTATTCCCAGGACTCAGCTGGACTCCCAGGCCTCCTCCTCACAGTAGTCACATCATGCATACTCCTCCAACTCATTCCCTTGGGGTGTGCCTTTCTCCAACTGGAAATGCCTGAGCTGCCCTTTGGGTCAGATGGTGGGTGGGAGGAGTTGCTGAGGTGTTTTTTCAAATAATTGCTTTATTGGTATATAATTCACCCATTTTAAAGAGCCCACCTAGCCCTCCAGGCATGGTGGCACACACTTGAATTCCCAGAACTTTGGCTGGAACAGGAGGAGCACCAGTTTCAGTCCAGCCTGGGTAACTCTGCATTGTAGCAAGACCCTGTCTCAAAATAAAAGCAAAAATTATATAAAACTTAAAAGGGCCAGGAAGGACCAGGTAGATAGCTCAGCAGACTAAAGTGCCTGCTTAGGTACAGTGCAGGGACCAGGGTTTGATCCCCAGCACCACATGCTGTGCCAGCCATGCCCCTGGGGCACACTGAGACTGCTTGATTGAGACTGGGTATGGTGGCATGCACCTGTAATCTCAGCGTTTAGGAGGCTGAAAACAGGAGGATCACTACGAGTCCAATCTGTGTAGTGAGACACTGTAGACCCTGCACTAAATACATTAAAGTTTCTTTCTTTCTCTCTCTCTCTCTCTCTCTCTCTCTCTCTCTCTCTCTCTCTCTCTCTCTCTCTCTCTCTCT